CCACATTAACAGTAATAGTATTTTGAATTCATTACAGATAATTTCCATATTTGGAAAAAATGTCACATTTTAATCACATAATTATGAACCGTAACTATGTACATGTATATATCATATAGAGGCACATTCAATCAGACCTATGTGATCAAATACGTTACGTTACCTCTTATTAATTTATATTTAATAGAAATATGACAAAATGTCTTTAACTTAAGTTGTATTACTTATTAAATAATTTGAAAGTCTACCATATCTATTAGAATGAGCCATGAACCAAAAAAGCAGTAACTGTAACTATAACAGTGTTCACAAGTTATGTGAATCAGAACCCAACTAATTCATTTATTATCTGGACATCCTGTAATCCCAGCATATGACATTGTTTTGCATCCATCTTTGAAACATGCTAAACACAACTAACTTAAGGAGTATAATAGGTTCCATGCTAAACACAACTAACTTAAGGAGCTTAATAGGTTGCATGCTAAACATAACTAACTTAAGGAGTTTAATAGGTTCCATGCTAAACACAACTAACTTAAGGAGTTTAATGATTTCCATGCTAAACACAACTTAGGGAGCTTAATAGGTTGCATGCTAAACATAACTAACCTAAAGAGCTTAATAGGTTGCATGCTAAACATAACTAACTTAAGGAGTTTAATGGTTTCCATGCTAAACACAACTAACTTAAGGAGTTTAATGGTTTCCATGCTAAACACAATCTAACTTAGGGAGCTTAATAGGTTCCATGCTAGACATAACTAACTTAAGGAGTTTAATAGGTTCCATGCTAAACACAACTAACTTAGGAAGCTTAATAGGTTGAATGCTAAAAACAACTAACTTAAGGAGTTTAATAGGTTCATGCTAAACACAACTAATTTAAGGAGTTTAATAGGTTCATGCTAAACACAACTAACTTAAGGAGTTTAATAGGTTCCATGCTAAACACAAGTACTTTACGAAGTGTAATAGGTTCATGCTAAACACCACTAACCTAAGAAGTTTAATAGGTTCCATGCTAAACACAACTAACTTAAGGAGTTTAATGGTTTCCATGCTAAACACAACTAACTTAGGTAGTATAATAGATTGCATGCTAAACACAACAAACTTCAGAAGTTTAATAGGTTCATGCTAAACAACTAATTTAAGGAGTTTAATAAGTTCCATATTAAACACAACTAACTTAAGAAGTTTAATAGGTTGCATGCTAAACACAATTAACCTAAGAAGTTTAATAGGTTCCATGCTAAACACAACTAACTTAAGGAGTTTAATAGGTTCCATGCTAAACACAACTACTTTACGAAGTGTAATAGGTTCATGCTAAACACAACTAACCTAAGAAGTTTAATAGGTTCCATACTAAACATAGCTAACTTA